TCCTCACTGGCGGGGCATCGTTCGCATCCTTCACGAATGAGCTTCCTGGCGGCGACCATACGACCAGCGTGCTCCTCTAAACATGCTGCAGCGATCCACCCAGGAGCATGCTTTGGATTGGACTTTACCAGGGAATCGAAGAGCATGCGCGCACGCTTGATGTCGCCGATTTCGGCAGAAGATTTCAGTTGGACGCTGTCAAGAGAGGTGAGGTAGCCTTTAGGGTCGATGGAAGTGGATGTTCCAGAGGCGCCGAGAGAAGTAGCGGTACCAGATATCTGTACGAAAATATCAGGCTCATTCTTGAGTAGAAAAAAAAGACAAACCTGATCCAGTTTTAACGATAATATTTTGTCTCTTGCTTGGCCAATTTCCACGAAGTTCGTCAGAGTACCGGCATTCGCAGGGGTTTCCTGTCCGTCTTGAACGACGTTCCCTATACCGCCTCTCTCTCTATCTCCCACCAATATACTATCCGGAACGACGTAGGTTCTCCCCTCAGTTTTCCGTTTCTTGCGCGTCAAGTTGCCGACTTCTGGTATACCTTCCCACTCGGCATCAGTAACCGCCGTCAATCCTCGTTTCAAATCAGCAAATTGAGCTTGAATTTTTGGACGCTCCGCCCGGTGCTTCGCCATTTCAAGCTGCTCCTGTGCTTCCCTGAACAGTAAATCAGGACGAGGCGAATACATGATAAAGTAGTATTTCGTACCTCCGTGCTTTTCTCCTCGCGTCCATAGCTTCGTCGACCTTTTCATAGATCCGATCCGCCTCCTCGTCATCTGCTTCGTATGTGGTGCCGGCAAAGAGGCCGTATTCGTTGTCAGGATCCTGGAATTGGTCAGGATCTACCTCTGCCTCTTCACCGCGTCGAGCTTGGGCTTCACTAAGAAATAATGAGTAACATTTCGAGATAAAAACAACTCGGCGTACGCAATAACCTCAGCACTGGGCCCCTCTCGTGCTGGACCAATATCAGATCGCGTCGTAAACCCAGAAGCACTGAGAAAAAATGAGAATACGTTGATTGCGAAGATAATGAAGACGTACCCTCGCCCTAGACCAGCGACATACGATGCCGGTGCAGGCATAGACAAGAAGGCGAGTTTGTTAGGTTTTCCAGCCATATTGGAGCTTGAGGTGCGCCGCGAATTTTAAAGAAAGTTTGATTCGTTTCCTGCGGTCGTCGTCGTCGTCGTCCCAGGGGGTGCTCGTCGTCGCCCTCGACGCGTTATAAGGAGGATGGCGGTTTAGGTCAAGGATGAGAGCGTGATGTGACGGATGTCGTCAGCGTGATTAATTCCCAAAATTGGTATTTCAAACTCCGTCACTATCTGGTTAGGGTTTCCTCATTCCCCCCACGCCGCGTGCGGGGGAGGCTCTAGGTCGTTTGAATCGTTGAAATCACTCCAAAAAAACTCTTGGCCACTCCCCACTTCCATCTGCCTGGCTTACTGGAAGTTGGAACCGGGCTCTCAGATTCCGTTCCTCAACCTTTCCTACCTTTGAAACTTGAAAATTCGAACTTTCAAAAGTCTCCATTCAACAACCTCACATTCGGCGCATGTACTGGAGCTGGAGTCTGCACCACGTTTATACTTTTACCTCTACGTGTGCCTTGATTTTCGCACGGTAACTGTCTCCATAATTCTCGACGCTGATGCTATCACGATCAACTGCTCTTTACTAAACGACTGTCGCCTCTTCGTGACCTCGATTATCCGCAGCAATAATATTACTCTGACCCATATCCTCTACTCCCACGGACCTCCTTAAATTAGCAGATTCCTTTGTAACCATCACTGCTGTTTCACTGCTGCTGCGCTTTTCCTACAATAGTCAAGCCTATATAATTTTAGCCCGTTGATGGCTAAACTGATGCAAGCGGCTGATAATACCTCCGTGTCGACCATCACCACGCTCTTTGTCTTTTACCACCACCACCATCGTCTCTTACTTTCTTTGCCTCTGCGAGGTCTATTTCTTTCTTTCAAGCCTTCGTCCTTTCATCATGCTGGCATTTTCATTCCTTTTTGCCCTCGTCTTGGCCCTCCCGGGCGGTACGTTGTTATCCTAACCTTCTAAACCCGTACTTATGTGCCGATCTAGTCCTCTCGCACCAATTCTATGACCTGGCGTCTCCGCATATCTATCTGGCCGCTCGTCAATCAACTAAGAACCTGACGGAACTTCCTCAATCCTCAATCCCGTCGGCATGTTCCGCGAACTGCACTCAAACTGTGATCACCTATCTCAGCGTGAGCCGCATCTCTCGGCTCCGATTCTGATACATCTTGCCTAACAGCGTCATCCAGAACTGTTCGACAACGGAGTGCATGTGCGACAATCAGACGGATCAGTCAATCGCATCCTGCGTGAACTGCGTGGTCGCCCAAGGGAATATTACTAGTGACATCGGCAAAGCTGTTATCGCTCGTGCGTTCCGTCGCTGAATGATGCATCATTGACTCACCACCCTTTTTCTTCCGCCTCAGAATACGGTGCTACTTGTTCTAAGTTTGGCGTCACTCTTGCTACCGACGGTGCTTCCAGGATCGAGGTGGGGTTGGTTGGTATTGTTTTGGCTGCCATGGTGTCCATGGTTTTCTAGAGGGCAAGACCCCGGGTAGAAAGTGATCCCAATTACTCATCCTATATAGTCACAGTGCTGGTGCGCTTGGTGGAAATACAAAGCATTCTCTCTAAGTCGACTCTCAAGTGATCTGGTTCGGAGTAAATGTGTGTTCTATTTTCCTTGTTACTTACCTCGGCAAGGCTTCAGCTTCATCTTCGAGAAGGGACAAAGGACTTCATCAATTTATACACTCCTTTGAAGTGTCGAAATGCATACGCAACTTCTTAAGACGCTTTTTAATCCACATCACAGTGGTCCTGATTCCGCATATCAGGCCACTCGTCACTAAAATCATAGCTTATTTGGAAAATACGGGCTCACTACGTGTTGTGAACACACCGTACTTCGGCTGTAGCCTACGGCAAAATCGGGGCAGATCGGCCGGTTACGCCGCTGGGGCAGAGTCGGACGAATGACGTGCCGGAGTTCGTCATTACAACCTCCGAACGAAATAACCCACGGCACGGGTAACATACCGTTTTTCTGGCCCCTCCCCAAGGGGAGCGTTCTGATACGGTAACTTACCGTTACTGACCCTATTGTGCGTAACCTCACATGACTGACACGCGGCATTTTCAATTTCATTCGAACATCATCTTCGCGTTATTCTACACATTTTTCTGCCTCCTGACGTATAATTCATTGAACATCGCTACAGTGCTTTGTTTTACATTGTAAATGAAACATAAATCCAATAGGATTGAGTATGATTGCGATGTTGCTACTGACTTGACATCACAATACAGGTAAGTTACTTGAATAAAACTATTGGAGAGCCCCGCAGGAGCCCCAGCATTTTTGAAGTTTTCACTCTCGGCCCCTCGGCGATGTCCCTACCATAAAGTTAGGGTCGTGTTCTCGGCGTCTTTGAATCCTTGCTGGTCAATTGCCGGTTGTCAACGCTGTTTTATCGTTGTCAGCTACGAGGCTGGTAGAAGTAGGAGATGATGTCTAGAGATGGACATTTGGACACACGAGGTGAAGTCCTGAATTATCTATCTGGTAGGTACCATAATGAGTCCTAAACCTGTCTTAGCTATAGTACGCAGTGTTAACAAATAATTATTGAATATTGTTACTGGGCAATTTATTCTACTTTGATTCTACTCCAACTTTCTTGCACCTCAGCCCATGTTACGTTGCTGGTGTCTTGCTGTGCAAATCATTATCTGAAGCTCCCTTCCCCCCACGACTTACTGGTGCCTTAGAGGGACGCGCTCGTGGTGGTGGTGGTGCACCACGACGTGATATCTAGGGCTGCGCGCCGTCGCCGTATTGTACGGCTTTCGGTAACCGTTATACGGAAGCCGTACCGACGCCGAAAGTACCCTACTGATCATTTGTACGGTACGGTGTACGGCTTTTCCGTCGCCGTCAAGGGCCCCTACATACGGCCGTCTAACGTCGTAATACGGCTTATTGTATCAGGTGACCATAGTTTGACTTTCATGCCTGTCTGCAGCGACTTCCCCTTATGTCTGGGGCACCTCCAGTCTTCTTCAACTTGATGTGTGGGTCCGTTTTATGTTTTTTTTTTTTGATCTTGGGCACATCTGACTTGCCTTCAGCTTCAAGTTCTGTTATTTTTGGACTTCAATTGTCTTCTTTATTTCTCAAACCATCATCGTCAATTAAGCCATGCCCCAAGTTCTCTCTGGTAAGTCTATATGAGTAAATTCATTTTATACATGGGTACACGGTCGTCAACGGCCGTAGACGGCCGTAAAGTATCCGTACCGACGCCGACAGGACTTTTAAAATGACTATACGGTACGGTGTACGGATACTTCCGTAACCGTCTGGGACTGTTGCTTTACGGCCGTATACCGTATACGGTACGGCGCGCAGCCCTAGTGATATCGTCCCTATAGCGCTGCCTCTCAGGTGGAAATAGGATCGGGCCATCGATGTGGTCACTGCAGAATGCAAGGCCATACCCGTACTCATTGCCCTAGTTTGCAAAATGAAGTATATACTGTATCAAAGTAAAATGAAAACTTTCCCTCCCTCTGCGCGTGCGCATGCAAGAAGCTACAATCTATACCGCTTCGGATGTTCACCGGCCGCCAGGCCCACACCCCGGGAAACCCCCGGGTAGGAGCAGGGCTGAGCCCTTCGGAGCGGGCTCTCAAATAGTTAATACCAAGCTACCTTGATGGTCTTAATACAAGACCGAGCAAAGTTGTGTACATGACAGTGAGTCTTGACACATTTGAGTATTCTGTCATTAATGGACTTCCCTCTAGCGAGGGGAGTCCAAATCCCTGGTGTATCCAGACCTTCGTGCGCAACCCTAACTCGAACGGTGAACCCGCCATTCCGGAGAATAAAGCCAATCAATAAAATAAACATATTAAGAGTCGAGAACCCCCGGCGGGACTCGAACCCGCAACCTCCAGATTACCCCCCTTGTACATCGCGTGATGTGATAGAAGTCTGACGTCATAACCATTAGACAACGGGGGCACGTAATTATAAGCCTCTCGTAGTCTACTGCTATACTTCCTTTAGATCCTGAAAAACTGAACGGTTGGTGGACACTGGATTGCAATCCCATGCCAGCGATATATCCGAGACCAACACCTGCGACGACCTAACTTACTCCTTCCCCCATATCGATGTCTACGACCAACTCACTAACTACTATCTCGAAGTGTTCACAAGAAAAAAAAACGCGTTCACCACACTTGCGCCAAACTTGGGCGGCGTGCGCCGTACCTGATTTGACCCCTTGCGTCAGGATCTTCCGACTTTCAAAGCAACCGAAATGATCCTTAAAAGGTGTCCGAAATGCAGGCGAAAGCTCTCATCTATGATCCTGAACACTTGGCGGCTCGGATGTTCCCACTCGGTCGCATATCAGTAAGCTATCCGAATATTGTACTTTTCCAATTGTCACTTGCCATGTCCACAACGCGCGCGAGGACTCTTGTCTTCCGATAACTCTTCGGTTCCAGCCTTCTAGGCCCTTTCACCTGGGGTCGCCGCAAGTCTAACGCGACTTCGTAGTGCAGCGGCAGCGAAGTTTGGAAGAAGATTGGGACACGAGCAAGTGTCCATTTCGAATACCGTGAACTATATTTCTTATTACCCCCTGGAAGAACCACGATATAACCAAAACCTCGCAAAATTACCTTACTTTTGGATATATGAACGAACCTCTTTTCCCGGCCTGTAGTTGGGCTCCGGTTATTATTCACTCGCCCCCGCATTCTCGACCCCTTGTCTAGACTGTCCAGAACGCTTTCCCTGCTCCCCGTGGGTCTCCCAGGCATATAAGAACTGTGGGGTCGCTGCCGACCCATTGACTTCCTACCTCCGTATCGAAATGGGACCCACACCAGCACCATTCTTTCTTGCTCGTCTGGGGGCGTACACCATGGCATTTGCGTGGGGCGCTATCAGCCTTTCCATCGGTCTCAATACGGTAGTGAAGCAGAACCAGCTCAAGTCGTTCCTCCGGAGATCCGTCGCACCCCTTGGAATCACTCTGAGACTCGTTACGAACAGTACGTTCAGTATATCGTAGTCGCCCACTCAATTTAATACGAGAGTATAGGTGTCGTCCATCCTGCCATAGCTTCCGAAGTTTTCTGTGTTATCACGGCCCTATACTCCCTCGCCGCCGTCATTAGTTTGTTCGTCGGCTCAAGTACTACAAGCAGAAAGACTATTTCCATCCACGCATACGTCTTCACGTTCCTTACCGTCGCACTGTTTGCTTGCCAGATTCCAGTATCTGACGCGGTGCGCCGAAAGGGTGTAGAGATCTGGGGATGGAAAGATGGTGTCGCGGTCCCCACAGAGACACTTCTCGAAGCTGCAGCATCGCTTGGAGTTAACCCCCTGTACAGGCATATTCACTTCAGTAAGTCTTGCATCCTGGCAGTATTGTATCGTTGAGGCTCATCTTTTTGCCAGTCCTCTGGTTCGGAATCATCCCCTGGTTCGCATTCTTGTTCACTCTTATTTCGGCGATCGTGTCCTTCTCGGCATTGAGAGGACTGAGAGAGAATACCCTGCCTCTCGCCAAGGCTAGGGATGCGCCCATGTCCCAAGTTGCTTGATTCTCGCAGGCTGTTCGACTTCTTCCTTCCATTCTTCTACCCCCACATTGATGCTTCAAAATGACCCCCGATTTTATGTCCTTTACGCCTTCAGCTCTGGTTACATTAGTACTTGATTTTACCCTTTAATTTGTACTGTCGTTTCGATGAGTACCACGCCATTGACTGAGACTTTCGAATGAAGCCATTCTCAGCCTATGCATAGATGTACGGCCAAGGTAGCCAAGGTATGCACTCAAGAAGGAACTGAGAAGATACACTGACAAGGGCCTGGGTCTCCCGTCGGCTAACACTCCTCGATCTTCGAGGTATTCCTTGCGGCAGAGAGTACCCTCCTTCCATCTTCCATGCGTGAACAGTCACAGCGAGCCATTGTAGCCGAAGGAAGGACTATTCTTCTCAGAAAACAAGGACGACCCTGGCTTAGAACAACTTGTAACCCCATACCATCTTGACTCGTTGTCCAACCACTGCCTGACGGCGGAATATGAGTGGGAGTTCGTGACATCGTATCCAGACACAATACTGCACCCAGCACGTTGATTCTTCTTTGTGCTTGGATGCAACACGCAGACCGAGTAACGGCCAATGTGATATATAACCAAGGTAGCAGTTCCAAGAAATACTACCGGGAGTTTCAGGAATTGGAAGATCGACAAGAGGATGTCTTCGCGGAACGGGACGGTGGCTCTACTATCTAGCACATCGGAGGAATTCGGGCAAGGCGAGTGTGCAGGAATCCTGCTTCCTTGGGTCGTCCGCGTCAAGGAAGTAACAGGCCCGCATGGCAAGGATAGATGCAGTTAGAAAGCATAGGCCGTTTCCCAAAGGGTATCACCAGGACGTCAATAGATCGGCCAGTAGTTGTAGATCAAGAACGGAGGCGCAGGCGGAGCCGATACGCCACGCCTTTCCAAGCTCAGTGAGACGAGTTACAACATCATACAGAGGTGTAGAGTGAGACCAACGCTAGCAACTTGTATCGCAGACAAATTCGGATACCCCAGACGCGGATCACTTGGGGTAGCATGGCACCGAAGTTCGTCGACCATCATGCGTTCGGTGACGCCTAAATCTGAGAAGAGATCAACACCCGGGCGCAGTTTGTGCGTTACAACACTATGATGTTCTTCTGCACACGTTGCGGACTCGGAAATATCCGAAAGATGGGGTCTGTAATCAATGGCTATTCACACATATCAGCAGAAAAAAATCACCATACATTGCCTTCAGGAAACGTTGGAAATGTTCAGCCAAGTTTGCGATTGATGTCCGTCATAAAGAACAATCCGATAGTTCTGAAACAGAAAATCTGGGATACCTGGGATACCTGGGGAACGTCCGTTGAAAGCGCTCCAGCGGGTGCATTCAGAGCTTCTCTGTATGACTGCTCTTCGATTCTTGTCCGACCCTCATCAGGCCTATCGGATGAGCTCTCTTTGCAGCCAGCAGATGGTCGCTCTGAGTCTTGACGCCGTCTGACGGTTGCGGTGTGAAGAACGTCACTCCTGTGGCAATAACAGATCTTTTGTGTGTGCCACTGCCAGGATCGAGATAGTTACTATGCTCCGATACGCGAAGGTGGTGGAACAAGTTGAAGAGCTTCGATTTCCGGCCCTTATCTCTCTGTCGGACCTCGGTATAATTCGGGCCGCTACGCGTTCCTTCCAACACCCATATCCATGCGAGGTGCCGAGATCTCTAAGTCGCAAAATAGTACGAATTACACCGAGATATCTAGTACTTGTTGTCCTCCCTTACACTAACTATCATTTTCGTCTTAGTATGCGTCGCGTCGCAATCCAAAAGTTTCCAGAATTCATGCGGAAACTGGTATCGATAACAAAGAAAGACATAAACTGTGTCAAATGTCAGCCATACTATGTTATACGTCTTCTCCAGTAGATGAATTGGTGGCACTGCATTTCAATAAACTTTGTGTTCATGACTGATTATCGCTTCATCGTAGCGCGTGCGGCGTGTCGTTAGCTAATAGCGCAGCGTCCCCCAAACTACCCTTCTTACCAATGATCAGAGTACATCCTGGACATGCATACTGATTTGAGGTCGTCATCTCGCGTCGCATGCTATGCCTCTTCTCCTTGAGGCCCTGTCTTTAGTTACATCGTCTGGACCGAAGATTCAAACACTGGTCAGATGAACGATACTTACACAATCAAGCCAAGACAGGAAACTTTGATGTGTCTATTTCAACTCTTAACGTATCCTGAGACCCTGGGCAGATACAACCAATACGGTTCTAGAACTTGGCAGCATGCCCCAATGACGAGGCTCATCTCATTTGATTTAAGTGTCACCAGTTACGACGTTAAGCTCATATCCATAAGCAGTGTCAAATCATGTACTGTGTTATATCAACTCATTGAAACAGATTTCAAACTCATTACAGGCGCGTGTAATTAATTTATCTCGTCATGACCCGTCTCTTGCTTCGTGTGATCTGGGCGCAAGTATGGAACGGCACAGACCGGCAGTTCGAAGTTTAAGATTACAAGAGATGCTCGGAGGTAGTCCTATCTTTGTACTTGCAGTGGAAATCCGCTGACACTCCACTAGGCCGTTACGTGAAAGAGCACACGAACATTGCCGTGCTGAAAGTCTTCTTCTGTGATCACGACAGGGACGGCAAGGTCTGTGAGGCGTGACCTCAAGGAGACACGCCTGTATATGATTTTCAGCAGCAGTGGCAAATGTATTCAACGTTCTTTCTAAATCAAAGGTATCAGTCCTATATATCACTGCGATCATGTGTAATCGATAGGAGAAATTGCGTACATCTGTCGCAGATATCTGAACTCAACTCCTGGAACTAGCCTTCAGATCTAATTGGGAGTACTAAAGAGGGAGATATTCAGTCAGAACGTTGATATTTTATCGGACGAATGAACTGCCTCCCAGAGGCCTCGATATCTGGCTTGTTTGTTCTTCTAGATTTTCGTCGCCAGCAGATGGCTCTCTCCCGGCCGGAAGGCCAAATCTACGAGATCTCGACTCCGGGCTAGCACGTAAGCTGGAGTCGATGTCGTCCGCAGGTTAACTGATAGCCCTTAATCGCGAGCAGATCATATCCACTCCTCAACTCAAGGAATAGTAGACTTGGAGGGAGTGCGTACTATTTTCGCGTGGACTGCTAAGCCGCTTTTCCAGTGGCTGTACCTGCTACCAGACGCTAAACTTCGTTACGTTCAGCAAGCAGCTAATCACGAGAACGTAAAGTAAGCATGGAGTTTTGTAAACGGGGAATGCGATAGTCCGATTTGCTCTGTAACAGCGCTGAACATTGTTCACGAACAGGCAAGAGGTGATCCTGTAGATGACACAGGTATTTCGTAGAAACCAATCAAAAGAACGAAAACCTTTGGTCGGCAACAGTGCAAA